TGTGCTGAATGGGATTTCAATGTGCTAGTAACATTTGTTGGCAGCACTGGCAGCTTAAGGTTTCCGCTGGAGATTTGTTATGCGTTGTATGTAGCTTGTCTGGGTTTTCATTTTTTTTAATTGCTTAAAAACAACTATCCTACAAATGGTAAGGTGTCATGTTTAGTAGCTGCCATTGATCTGCCTCCATTAAAAACAGTTTGCAAAGAATGAAAATATTTTTTTCTATTTCTGATTGCATTGCACTGGTTTAGAGCTGAGAATCTTGCTTGCTTGAATACGGTGGGAAGATGCACAGCAGTTGTTAAGGCAGACTTGGTTTCTTAGTGTTCCTCAGATGCACTGCTAAGAAGTGGCTCAGGGGGGCCAGATCTTCTGCACCAAGCCCCTATTTCCTTCCCCTTTCACCTTCTTTTTAAAAACTTATTTTTCTTTCCTTACAAAGTGGCTGAGCACATGGCAAAGCACAGTGTTGATGAGACCCCCAACCACCCATCAACTTGATTTTCCCAGAAGCATCTATACATATAAATTTGTGTGTGCAATTATTTTATTAGCAAATTTGTGTCATGGGTCTATGTCCCAGGTCTGTTACGCTCTTCTTATGCTCTTAAGTAGGAGTGGCCAAGTTTATTAGCTTTTGAGCCACATAATTGAAGTATTTGCAGAATGAACAGAAGCACGGCCTCCTTTGCCTTCCATCCCTCAACAAGTCCTGCAGCTACTGTTCTTCCCTCTAGTCTGGCCCACAATCTTTGCCCTGAGCTCCAGAATCTCCCTCCACCAATCAGACAACAGATCACAGTCCCTTTCCTTCTTTGCTAACCACTTCTCTTCTCAATGTGCAGTGTAGCTGGGAGAGGAGATGAGGAAGATTGAAGAGCTCGGCCTTATGGCACTAATGTATATGCACACTTAAACACATCATACACAGCCCATTCCTAAGCATGCTTACTCTCTGAGGTCCTATGGGACTTTCTTCCTACTAAGTATGTGCATAGAAATGCACTGCAGCAGTGATTGCATTTCTGTTTGTTGTCTGAAACCATCTGGGATCTGTGCTTGGAACTGCTTAAGAACAACAACCTGTCACTGCTGAGCTGTGGCTTGTTTCTCAGAGTGAAGTGCCTGGATGAAAGCACCATGATTAGGTAAAATAAACCGTTAGGACTATTGCTGAAAACATTTTATTATCTGGAACTGAAGCTGTAGCCATTAGCAGAAGAGCAGGGGAGATGGGAGGAAGTGACTGAAAATAATTTCTTTACTCAGAATTTTACTAAGCAGAGTGTATGGAAATCCCATAAACTTGGAGGGCTTTGCTTTATTGACACAATCTTTCCAGCTCTTTAGATTGCAGTATAAAGTTATATTTAGTTCTTCAGATCATAATGTTCCCAACAGTGTACAACCCAAATTCAGCAAAGCATTTGGGCATGTGCTTAACTTCAGGCCCTTAAGTAATCCCATTGCTGGGCTGCAAAATACTTAAGCATGCCAGTGCGTGGGCTTCTTCTCATTTTGCACTTTATTGACTGGCTCAGAGGTAAGCCCTAATACAGCTTTATGTATGCCACAGAGATTCTCTTTAGGCAGAGAGAGCTGTGGCATATACATTTTTAAGCAATGGACTTAGCTATTTTTAGAGGATTTGTTTCCATTTTCTGAATGCATCCGATCAATAGATGTTTTGTACAACTCCAGAAATACAACATATGCCTATTTATTTCATTTTTATTTGAAGAATGTGTGCAGTGCTGTCTAGCAAGAAGGAGAGCCCCTAATGAGCAACTATATATAAGACAGTTTCCGTCTGATTCTTTGGAATCCAGAAGGAACAAACAAGCTTCCTCCCACTGGCTCTAAGATTTCTTTTTGTACATGGTGTTGGAAACTTGTGCATGCAGTAATGGCACTACCAGATGGGAGGTTTTATGCATGAAACCAGACCTTTTGAATAAACATTTGCTGAAATTGTTCCTTTGTGATAAACAGAGGTCCAGGGTGGAAGAAGCACTGGTCTGGCACCAGATGTCTTAACAGAGCAGTATGAGCACTTTCAGACAGTTGCTGGTGAGGCTCAGGTGTGTCAAATCACCCACAGCCCACAAAAGGACAATTCCCATCCCTGCAGTAGGTTCAGTAAAATCAGTAGGGTCAGAGTAGGTCACACAACAATCACCACTCCAAAACAGCCATAGTAGCTATAAACACACAGGTTACTTGTTACCTTTGAACAACAAACCAACAACACCAGAACTGGCTTATGAATATAAAGAACATTTTTACTGAAATAAGTATATACCCTCATAAACCAACTAGACAATGAGCAAACTAAAGTGCAATGTGCATAACCAAGTCTGGAGATACTCATAAATATAGAATGTACCAGTGTCTCTCTTGTTGCTGTACTGGTTATGTATGCGATAAATATGTCATAACACAGCTGTGCTTGTGGGATTTTATATGTTGGCAGTACTACCCATGCAATCGGGACTAGAATTTCTGAGCATAGCATAGCGTGGGTGGTGCTGTGGGTTAAACCACAGAGCCTAGGACTTGCCAATCAGAAGGTCGGCAGTTCGAATCCCCGCGACGGGGTGAGCTCCCATTGCTCGGTCCCTGCTCCTGTCAACCTAGCAGTTCGAAAGCACGTCACAGTGCAAGTAGCTAAATAGGTACTGCTCCGGCGGGAAGGTAAACGGCGTTTCCGTGCACTGTTCTGCTTCGCCAGAAGCGGCTTAGTCATGCTGGCCACATGACCCGGAAGCTGTGTGCCGGTTCCCTCGGCCAGTAAAGCGAGATGAGCGCCGCAACCCCAGAGTCAGTCACGACTGGACCTAATGGTCAGGGGTCCCTTTACCTTTTATACTTATTCCAGAAAAATTGTTCTTTATATTCATAAGCCAGTTCTGGTGTTGGTTTGCTGTTCAATTATTGTTATAACACCTGATACTTTTTGTGTATACTTTTTACCTTTGTATTGGAGGTGTTTTCCTTCGCATGCCATGTCAGAACTGTCCCTGCTTGTTAGAAGCTTCCAGAAACAAATGACATTAGTCTCCCTCCTCACAACAGTGGGAGGGATAGGAAGATAGAAGCGCCTCCTTCTTTATGCTACACTGAGAATGCTTTGTGATATGCTGTCTCAGAAGGATCAAAATAAACTAAAGGCACTGGTGACTTCAGCAGTAAACCACTTCGGTCTTACTTGCTTTATCAGCTCCTAGAGTGTTATCATAAGTTGGGTAGTAATAACCACTTTGGCTGTTATACAGCATGGAATTGAAACCTATGATTTTTAAAAACACTTTTCCTAAATGCCCAAGCAATATTGAAATCATTTCTGTGGAGTGTAAAATATCGAGCTTATTTTATTTCATAAAGGAATAAGCACAGTGAAAAAGTTTAAAAATGCAATTAAGATCCCAACTGGCAAAGTTTGCCACAGAAGCAGGGCTGCTGTTAACAGGATGAATATTTACGGGTTTAATAATGACACCAAATCCCTTTCTCTGAAGTTGTTACCTACAAACCTGGAGCTGAGACAGTGAGCCATATAATCAAAAGCTTTGCAAAAAGAGGAAGCAAAGAGAAAATGTGAACCTTCAGTTCTCTGGGGATAAGATCTATTGTCTGGACCAAAAGTTTCACACTGTTCCTCTTTTGTCACTGCTCTTTTCCTCCATCAGTGGAGTCACTTTAAGCTGCATTTAGGAACATAGGAATCTGACTTATACCAAAAGAGTCAATTGGTCCACTTAGCTGATTATTGACTACAGACTGGCAGTGGCTCTTGTCAGGCAGCAGTCTCGCCCAGCCCCTATCTAGGCTTTGTACCCATAGCAGGTATCTATGATTGAATCATCTGTACACACCAACATTTCCTTACCTAGTTGTATTAGATTGAAATCCTAACCTCACTGAATTCAATAGGGCTTACTTCTGAGCAGTGGTCCAGATGGCACTGCTACTTGCTATGCATAGCAAAAGATAAACTAACAACATTTGCAATCCTACATGAAGGGAAATTGAACCCATGTTATCATTTTCAGAAGTGAGTAAATTGCTCCATGCAGGACACTGGGCAATTCATACTATGAAGTAGTGTCGGGCAGCAGAAAACATGGCATAGAATTGTTCTTATAAGAGGGAGTTCATGCAAGATCACCTATTGTCTGTTAACTGAAGTTTGCTTGAATAGGTTGATCTATCTAGGTGCTTCCTAATCCTTCTCTCATTAATAACCTATGTAAACAGTTTTGTGTGATTTAGTTGACTTGAGAGTTGATTTAGAGAGGTACATGGTGTGACGGAAGATGTTTGTTCACTCAGTTAATTTTAATTGTATATAAATAGTTGCAAAACTGATCTGGGGATTGAAGGGAGAAAGAGGAAGGGAAGTATGCTGGCGATGAATGGGTCCTAACAAATAAGCAGGCATTTACAATAGGTGGGTTATTTGCAGAGGGAAGGAAAAATGATGCTACATAGTATGAACTTGTCCTATTTTAAGACTGCTGTTAAGTAAGCCTTCAGTGACTAACTGAACTTTTAACTAAAGATTGCAATAATTCATTTATTTATTCATCTGTGTGTATATTGTCATTTATTACCACATATTTTGTATTATGTCTCATTTGCTCCTTCTCCTATCAGAGACAGTTGAGATGGATGCATGGCACCAAATCTCTCATTCCTGTTTTGACAATTCTGCGTGGAATATTCAGGGGAGGGGTATACATGTATATATCCAGTTGGGAATCATGTGGTTGAAAGTGGCTACATACTCTGCTATATCCTGCTATGGAGAAAACACAAAATATCTTTAACTGTGCATAGGCTTCCTCAGTTGACTGGGCAATTGTGCTTTCAGGCTAAAGGGAAGGAATATACAAACACAGTCAGTTCCAAGCTGAAGGAAGCAAGCAAACTCCCCTCTCCTCTTCCACGAACATCTTCCAGTTTCAGTTGGAAAATAAAACCACCACACATGCTCATTTCCCTTTCATGGTTTGTAATTTGTTTTATTTCTTCCTTTAAACATCCCTTTAAGGGTGAAATGAAATCCAACCATTTACAGAGAAAATGATTTCAGAATGTACACTTTGATTTTTCCCTTACAAAAAAATTATTAATAATTGGTATTTATAAATTAGACTTTAAAGGGCTTCTTCAACTTATTTGGCAAGTCCCATGTATTCCTTAGCCAACAGGGGGCACAAAAGCTATTTCTTTGTGCTGGGACAAGAGATCCCGTATCCTTTCTTTAAGAAATGAGCTATTTTCATTCAGGACTTTCCACGGTAGAATACTGCTCGATTGTTCCCTCAGGAATCATGCTGGATAGTGGTGTGCACCCTTGTTGCAGGTTTTTCTTCATATCTCTTTTAGGCTAATTTACCAGCCTTGTTCCCCCCACCCACACCTATGAGAGAGTTCTGCATCAAAATTCTCTGTAGCTTCTTTATGGCAGGGGTGGCAAAGTCATAGCCTTCCAGGTGTTATTAGACTACCACTGCCATCACCCCAGACCATTGGCCATGCTGGCTGGGGTGGCTGGTGGTTGACTCCAACATCATGTGGAGGGCCACTGGTTTCCCAGCCCTACGTTTATAGCGTGGTTATGGCCCTTAATGCCTCCCTCTCTTCCCCCCAACAAAACTCATCAACTCCATATTTTCCCTTTTTAAGATCCTTCAGAGTTTGAAAAGCGCTCCAAAAGTTGAGTGGAGTACCATTCCTTTTTTCCAAACCATTCAGTTTAAGGTCTATAAAGCCATGGCACCTTGTCCCTTCCAATCCAATCCAGAGTGTGACTACTTCCACGATTACTCCAGATCTCCACCAGTAGAGGACAGACAGAGAAATGAAGTTCGGCAACTGCCTAGGAGCAGGCAACGAGTGAAAATTAATGGTAGTTCAAGTCTGAGCTCTAGATTCGCAATGAAAATGCCGTAGTTTCACCAGAAATGATTCAGAACATCCTTATGTGCCTGCTATAGAAAAGAAGTTATGAATCTTCCAGTTTTCCTTTTTCAGCAGCTGAATACCCAGTCTTAATGACAGTATCGGGAAGACAAGGAGCTACACAGCAGAGAGAAAATATCTCTTCCATACAGAACTAAAAAGAATAGCCTATCCAGCTCTCTGCGCAGTGCCAACTTTGTCCCTTGTAACTGGATAAGGTGTGAAGTAGCCCCCAAGGTCACAGAGAACATATGAATATGAGTAAGAATTAGTACAAATTGATAACCAGTCACATAAGTTGCTGCCTGTATTGGTCAAGGGATGAAAAGATGCTTACAAGTAGGTCAAAGGAGCTGTTCTCTAATGCTTAGTTCATATAAAGAGCAGATAAGACGGGGAAACTGTTCCTGGACCATACCCATTTTGTACTGCAGCTATGGGATCTCATAGCGGAGTGCTATCTCATTGGTGAGGGTGGGTAGGAATCCCTAGAGACACAAAACAAACAAATCATGGAAAAGTCTATGGTGGCTATAATTCTTCTCCCTCACATCTTTCCCTCACACAGGGAAGCTAGTTTTGTTTTCAAATAAGGAAAAGCATTCAACCCCCACACACACACCTTGCAACTTAAAAAGAGGTAGAGTCAAAGACCAATTTCACAACCTCATTTTGTACAAATCAGGTTTGAAGACAGTGGAATGTGGCACTATGGGAGATAGAGCTTCTCTGAACAAAAGGGAAGTTATCCTCTAAATCCTGTCTACAAAGTGGGCACTCTCTCCACAGTTACTGGCCATAGTTGCTGTCACTGGCCATGACAATACTTCTGGAGGACTACTAGGGATAAGTGAGGTGGGTCTGTTGTGGGGAAAATGGGAAAGAGATACTCCCCAACTTCCTCCAGCTATTCATGGAGTGAGGAGACTCAACCTAGCTCTGCTACAAATTATATGCTGGCATTCATGAGGATAGTGCATCATGATGCTTATAGTACTATTGGTACACTTGCAATTATGCAGCACTATAACAAAGACTGCTCCAAACCTTTCTGCATAGCAGGAAAGAACTCTGCTAATACTTTTAAGTCAGCCCACCCTTTGCCCATTTGAAGTGGCATGAGTTATTCTAAAAATCAAAGTTCTTTCCAAACACTCATCAATACAGTTAAGACACGACGTCACTGCAGCTGCAATGCTGAACACAAATTCTGTGTATACGTTAAACTGATGGAGGGGCAGGCACTAAATATCCACTTGCACAGCATCAGCTACTCGTTAGTATGCAGCCACTGACACACTCCAAAATGAGGCTGGCTTTGCCCACCAACCACACCCAGAGCTCATCCACACTTCTGTCTGCCCCACTGCTTTCTTATGGGAAAACCCATAGTTTAGTGCTGAATTGGAACAAACCACAATCGGCAAAATCACTCAGACCTCTGGCTAGAAAGCAGGGGACAAGAGGAAGTGGGGACAGACCCTTAATTACCTTTGTAATGATGTGCAAGGATCTCAGATTCTCTACGTGATACCAGCTGGATACAGTCTTGTTACAAGATGGAGGGTGTGCACACCCTGATTTTTCTACATCGGTTCCTCTACAATTGTGCCCAAAGGTTCTTCCATTAGGGCAGGTTCTTCAATCATCTCAGAGCTCTCCTCTTCTACCTGTTGCATACACATTTAATATTTGACTTACTCATTTTCCATTGACTCTGCAAGTCAAGGGGTAAAATTAGGTGCCCAAATTACTGGCTTGCCAAGATACTTCCCCAACGTTGTTTCTCCTTTAGCCACTGTTGGCCACCCCCCACCGGAATGCAGAAGTCCAAAGGCTTTTCTATTAGTGCAAAGTTCCTTAATGTGGGACTCTGTTCCCACTACATAATAAATAAATAATAGAGGGTTCTTAAACTGGAAATGTTAAAAAAACACACCATCATACGCAAAAGGCAGTCCTATTTTTTAAAAAGCAAAGCTTTTACTGTAAATTCTCCTTTTCTTCCCCTACCCCCAACCCAAGAGGTCAGTTTCAAGTTTCACTTTGGTGCAGTCAAAGAAGGGGACCAGAACAAAGAGTTCTTTCAGCGTCCCAAAGGAATTCAGCGCTAACTTATCCAATTACAATGGGATCTGTTGCTTGCACACAACGGGGCGGGGGGGGACCCCCCCACCCCAAGGAAGGGGGAGAGTTGCAGAAAGTATAACGGGGCTAGGAACAGCCTCGCTGTCTGTGTGTGTTGCGCTTTTCAGTGACAGATGGAGCCTAGAGACAGCAGTGATGGGAGTATTACGAATTCATGAGCAGTAATTGTGAAAGCCCTAGATGTGCACAAAGCATGCCCTGTAGAGCAAGTGCAAGGACTGAAATGAACAGCGGGCTGGATTGGAGGAAGGAGCTCGGTTTGCAGGAAAGCAGCACAGTGCTGAAGATATGGTGAAGTCATCCCCTTGGTCCTCATTTCTTGACGGGCTATTTTTCTGAATTTTGTCCCAATACGCTGCAGGCTCACAACCAAGCACTGCAGCATCGCCAAAGCTCACATTCTCCATGTCCCAAGAGCTGGAGCCCATCTCTCCCCCCTCCCCCTCCCTTGCCTCTCAACACACATCAGTAGTGAAGGAACATACTGCAACGATTGTGTTAGGCAGGCTGGGTCATAAGAGCTGAAGGTCAAAGCTTAGATTCCCATTTCCTCCCAAGACTGAAAGAAAACTATTCCCTCTGTGTAGTGGGCCTTTGTATGGCAGTACTGGGAACCAATGGTGCTTAACTAACCTCCATTAGTCACCAGCAACTCCTTTGCTATTGCTGCACATTCATTTTGGAATAGCAGCTTGAGATCTGCTCCATCAACTCTACACCCCACTGTGCCCGCTGTACCCAGTATGCTTCAGGATCCCTCTCCTTTAACCCAATGAAGATCTTTTCAGAGAAAAAGCATGCAGCCCATTCCATGGGTCATTTTAGTGCAGCCTTCCCAAACAGTGGCCTCAAGATGTTTTGGACTGGAATTCCTATCAGCCCCAGCCAGCATGGCCAATGGTCAGGGATGATGGGAGTTAGAATCCAACGATACTTGATGGACACCTGGTTAGAGAAGGGTGGTCTAATGCTTCAACAGAGAAAGGAACCATGTACAAAATCTAGCATTGCCTTAGAGTGGTGCACAGAGTTAGGTTGGCAGCACCAGCCAATCCATTCACCCATCCAACAAAAAGAAAAGGGGCTTCAAGCGAGCTCAGCTTTAGGCCGGAATTTCCTTCATTTTAAAGGCATAAAGGTCAATTCATACAACCATTTTTACATGGCACAGCTAAACGCAAGAGGACTTTGGTTGGTACAGGGAGCCACTTCTCCCACCACCCCTTGGCTCAAACCCACAGGCCAGAAAGTTTGCCACTAGAAGAGGTGCTTGAGCTATCCAAGCATTCACAAGACCAGCAGCTGCACCAAAAAAGAAGAGTCAATGCAAAGGGATTTCATCACATGAAAATGGTAGAGCATGAACTGGCTGAGCGCATCATGGAGACAAAGCATTAGGAGTGATGCCAAAGGAAAACTATAAAGAAGACACAGCACTTTCTGTGTCTTTTATAGGGATCAGGAATAATGCATTTGAAGGGCAGGAAAGACAAAGGGAACGAGGAAAAAAAACACGCACCACACATCAGAGTAACATACTGTTCCAGTGGCAAGGAACCTGTGTGCACCTCCTATTGCTGTACACACATCACCCATTTTTTGCAGTTAGCATAGTAGCTCACTGTTTAATATATTTCCTTAGCAGCAAACATAACATGGGGTTTACAATACATTTCACCCTGACTCCATATAGTAACTTAAAAGAGACAAAGTGGAGCCTCTTCACCAAAGGAGAAAGGATGAACACCGTAAATGGAATACTTAAACGCTTGGCTCTTACATCAGCCTCATCCGCCACACTACCTGTCCCCTCTCTACTTGCCTATGCAAACCACATTATAGGCGTGCAAGTGCTAGACTTCCAATATAGCACTGTCCTCAAAATGGTGGCATCATAGAGCCAAGTACCTTTACACCTCTCCTGTTCCAGAAGTAGTAGGATGGGCGCTGTAGCTTTAGCATCCTAATATCCCCTTTCCTTAAAAGCAACTCTAAGCATGACATGCACACTGTTTTAATTGAAAATGTAAACAGCACATTTTGTTGTGGAAGAGAGAAAGTAGGACCTCAGTGGGCATTCCCTTTGCAAGTCTGTGGGCTACAGCCCTACTGTCACGTTCCTTCCACATTAGAGACTGGCTACCAAAACTATCCATTTAATGAGCAAAACCAGACAGCTTTTCGACCTCCATAGCCTGCCACTTTGCAGAGAGTTTTTCCCTGAATGTTCATCATCATCAGGTGGAAAGGAGAGTTCTTTGGTGCTACCGTGCTCCCAGTTTGTGTGCACACCCACACTCAAATGTAACAAACACACGTGGCAAAATATACATATCCTAGACAGACATGACTCCTGGAGTCACCTACAAAAATTCTTTCACACTTATACACACATTTCCTAGTGAAGCTGCCACCCACCTGTTCTGGCTCCAAATAAAGAGCATTGTATCCAGGGACACAGTGCTCTTTGGCCAAACACCACCACATGCTCTTGAAACGACAAAGACAAGAAGAGTCCACACATCTACCCTGACCTCTGTCCATAACCTCTATGGGCTGAACAAGTGGCAATATGCTAGGAGAGCAGAACTTAATTGGACACCCATTGGTTTCAAATGACTCAGATGAACATTGGCTTTTAGCAATGGAGTTTGACATCACGCCCACCTAAACTACAAAGACTCAAGGCTTCTGCACCCTCACACATCCAGCTGTGTGCTCCTTCTCATCTCCATGTCACACTACCTGTCTTAAGAGTTTTCTTCCATCCCACAAGAGAGGTGAAGGAGCTGTACCTCCTGCTGGTTCTCAGGGCCAGTTCCTGCATCCTCTGGTCCTTGCTTACATGGTTTGGAAACTCCCCCACACCCAGACACACCCAAGTATATTCTCTGGGATGGGGCAAACAGAGGCTGGAGAGAACACACGCTTCTCCAAGAGGAGTGGGTGGGGAGGGGGGGAAGAAAAACAAAAGACGTACCCCACTTCCCCCTTTTTCCATAAAGTCCCATGCAAGCCCCACTCCCCTCACCCAGCCCCCTCTGCTTTCTGGTAAGGGTTCTCCAATAAGTAACTAAACCTCTGGTAGTTCTTCAACAGATATTTGGGGGCATACATTTGTTCTTTGGGGTCCGCAGCAGGGTACTCTTGGGTGGTGCCATCAAACCACCCGCCAGTCCGAATTAGCTCCCGGATATAGTTAAGGTCCCGCTTGTCCTCGTAGTCACCCCAGCGGGGGAAATCCCCATTCTGGGCTGACACCAGTTTGAAGTAGATTCCTTCTGGTGTAAAGCACCAAGAGCAGTGCCAGCCAGCAAAATGGAGCGGGCTACCCAGTGACCACTGCACCAGGATGTGACCTGTGCTGTTTTCATACTGCCGAAAGCCTGGCATGGTGTAGTACTCCCTCCGGCGCAGGCGAATCCCGTCTGTGGCGTAAACAGTTTGGAGCATCCCCACCGTGCAACCAGAAACCACCTCCAGGGTGCCGGGCTGCTTCCAGAAGAATCCGTAGAGGGATTTGCGCATGTGGAAAGCAAAGGGCTCCGTCCAGCCATCGTAGAGTTTGAGAAAGAGCACGCCATCGCGGGCCGGGATCTCGTCGGCGTCGTCAATTATGAAAACGTCATCGGGCCGCAGATTGCGGAAGCGGGAGATGCCATCCCGCGTCAGGAAAGTGCGCAGGTAGTCATCGGCAATCCAACCATCCTGGCGCCCGCCTGGGGGGAAGTGATCCAGGAAGACATAGAGCAGCTTGTGGCGGATGTAGTCAAAGGAGCCATTGAGCAGCATTTCGCGGAACTTGAGGGGGCGTGGCTCACCATATGCGGTGAAGTTGGACTCGCAGACCACAAAGGCATCTACCACATCGCCCAGCTCGTGGAAACGCACGTCCAAGAGGTCAAATTCGTGGTTGACGTTGATGGCATTAATGACTCTCCGAGGAACCTCCCGCGGGGTCAGCCGGTCTTTAGTGGGGAGGTTCGAGTACTGGACCACGGTGGGCACCCCGCAGCTAGGCCCATGCCAGCCAGGCAGACACACGCACTCCACCCACTTGCGCCGCTTTGTCCCATTGGTGCTCAGAGGTTTCCGACCTGTCCGCCCCGAAGCAGCTCCTTCTATTTTCTCCTCTGGCCGGCCCGCTAGTGGCTTTTCCAACACCTTGGTGCCTGGTTTGAAGCAGACACCGCCAGCTTTGGTATGCACAAAGTATTCCGCCGTGTCTTCCGGCAGCACAAACTCGGCTCTGTGCAGCTCTTCGCCAGCTCTGCTTGGGGAGAGGGGCTGGAGCAGAGGGGAGTGGGAGTACAGCGGCGTACGGAGGAACTCCGGGCCCCCAGGCTCAGGGCTGACCTGAGGTGTGACGGGTGCATTGTTCCAGAAGAAGTTGGAGACCAGGTTGGGGCTAAGCGACGCCAGCTCCCTGGGGAATGTGACATAGGAGAGGGCCTTCAGGAAGTGAAGGAAAGAGATGAGGCAAAGACCAGCCATGCACAGAGTCAAAAAGAGTTTGTGGCGTCTCATCTTCATCCTGGGATGGGAGGGAGGGAAGACAAAGGGAGAGAAAGAGAGAAGTTGGGTTAAATATTTCCTAGCCCACAGAGATTGTTTAATCATTGGTTGGGTAAAAGGCAGCAGTGCCTTCAGGGGCAGAAGCCAAGCCCCCACCACCACCCCACTCAGCAGAATGAGCTAGAGGTCCCCCTGTTGTAAACAAAAATTGCCCTTTTCCCTTATGGGGTATCCAAGAGCCCATATAGAGTCCTTACATAGGTTCCCTATTGGTAGGAGAGAATAACAGAGGCCAACCAGAGAATATTGAGAAGCAAAACAGCTAGTAAGCTTGATTTTTATTGATCTGTTGCAACAGGGTGCTCCCCTCACCTGCAGGAGAGAGGGACCCAGAAAAATGGCATGCAAGGCCTTATAAAGACTTTTGAAATTGCCACCCTGTAGATCAAGACCACCCCCAGAAACATCATACATACATCACAGAAGGAGTGTAACCTTGTCAACTTCGCCTTTGAGCCAGTGCCACCGACTGGGCTCAACCTCTTCAAACCTAAGACCACCCCCCAGATACATCATACCTACATCACAGAAAAGGCGGTCTAAACAGAAATTTGAATGTTGTTTTTCTCTCTCCTGTCCTTGTTTATCTCCTGTCTGGCAGGTTACTTGATTGGATTGCCTGGGGAGCCGGGCCATTCTTTTGTAGTGATAAATACTTAGTTCCTGGGCCAGGTCACAGGCTCACACCCTATTCATATCTTAAATGTGCCCTTAAGACAGGATTTGTGAGGAAAGAGACAATGGGAGGTTTCCCACTTTGACCTTGCGGAGAAAACATTGGCGCAGTTTAGGAATCAAAATGGTTCCAGGTTGGTCTTCCGGTGCTGATCTATGTACGTGCTTGGTTGGTACACTTATGAACATTACCATATATCTAAGACCATATCACACCCCTAACACATGAGAGCTGGATTACCACATTTTGAAGAAAGTGAAGGAATACATGTTTATGATCTAAAGATGGAGCCCTCCATAAGACTATTAAGTCCAGAGTCTAAAATTACTTAACTGCACCACAGTTAAAATGTTTCAGGATGGGAAGCATAACCAGGGTTAGGTTTTTCCTCCTCACAGATTTAAGCCACAAAGGTTCAGCAAAGGGCATGAACTGAGTCCCGACAATCCTGTAGAAATGTACAGCTCATGAAATCAATCCTAGGGGAGATAATAATTCTGTAGAAACTTACAGTTCTTGCAGCTCTCCTCTACCAGTAAACCACAACCCAGAAACCTGGGCTTAGCTCGGTTTCCAAAATAGGGCGAAGCTTATATAAAGTTCTGCATTAACAAAGACCACAATGCACACCTAGCTGGCAGGAAAGTCCATTCATAAATAACAGGCTTAGCTTTTAGTTCAAGCTCAGCGTAGGCTCGGCTTAGGTTTTAAATGCAGCTTATTAGCTTAAAGTGTAGGTGCAGACCTCAGTTGGAAAATCAGCCTACAGTTTCAAATGCTAGAGTGCAAGTATTAAAAACGAGGCAGGCTTACAGTGAACCAAAGCTTTGCCTTCCAGAGGGACTTGTCTTTTTCATTCCTGTTTTCATTCCCTTTTTCATTCCTGTTCACTTTCTATCCCCAAGGGACTCATCTGATCAAAACCCCCCATTAGACCACCATTCACTACAACAACTCCTGTAGTTGAACTACACACCCTTTTTTTTTTTTAAGAGTCCCCTGAGACAATTTGGCTGCAGCACAAATTGGGGGAAGCTAGCCAGGTATATAGCAGTGAAGGCAATGCTCACAAGGAGCCTAGTTCTCTGGGCTCAGCCCTACTACAAGAGAAGCAGGAGTGGGAAAGGAATGAGAATAGGATGTTACCTGCTCATTTTGTTTTACTGCTATTTGGCATTATGAGCAACTGGAAGGAAAATCGATTCTGAACTTATTTGTCTTTGCCCTTTGATAGGTATTTTATCTGGTTGCTGTCAATCTGTGTAGATAATGTTTTCCTGCCCTTTTGTCTTATTCTGATGCAGTTTATCTGGCTAAGTTTGCAGCTCACAATTAGCTACTGTTTCTGTTTTATCTAGCCGAGGGGGATCAGCCTGTGTCCCAACAATTATAATGATATTCATGTGTGTGAGTGAATCAAGCAGTTCTGGGCAGGGGGAGAAAGAACAGCAGGGGCAGGAGCTTCATGTCTTGCTGTTCAGGGAAGTGTCTTCAGTTGTATATGTTTTCTTTTTTAAGAAGCGCACTGCTTAAAAGGTCTTGTAATGAAAGGCAGTCTATATCCGAACTAAAGCTTTTTGCTGTTGGGGGCAGATACCAAAACAAATGATCTAAAATACTTTTGGTGATATCTAGGGATTGCTATGCTGCCATTTTGACCTGGATGTGATTATTCATGGTTTAATAATATCAAGATTTGACTCCTGGGACATGACTTACACAGCAATGGCCCTGAAAAGCAATGGAAAATGTAAACTGATATAAAATGCTACCCGCCTGGTTATTCATTTGCGATAGGTGCTGTTTCTTAAACTTTTCATAATCTGCACTGACTTCCTGTTTCTAGGTTCAGCTCCAAGTGCTGGTTCTGATCTTTGCAACACTTTAAAAAAACTTGAGATCTAAGTAGTTTTAAGGTCTGCATTCCCCCATATGTACATCCTTTTGTACTCTGTCCAACATCTGAGTACACTGGCCAAAAGACGTGTGGAGAATACATGCCTACTAAGAACAGGGCCTCCTTGGTTGTGATGGCAGTTGTATAGTTTGCCACCAGGCCCAAACACTCTGTTCCTAGAGTTCCCAAACTATACTCCAGGGACCATCAGCAGCCCACGAGCTTCATTTAGGCAGTCTCCAGTGTCTGTGGATTTGTGGTTGGAGACAGCACTCCCATCACATTAAATATTCTTTTAATTGTATTTGATTTCTTAATATTGTTGGTGTTTTATTGTATTATAATTTAGTTCAAATTGCAGTACAGTGCAACATATCATAAATAAAGAAAAAATATAATTAAAAACCATACAGTATCTAGCACAACAAATTACAATTTCTACAACAGGCGGAAAAGTCATTAAGTACGGTAGTCTGCCAAGACACTCAGCAATCTTCAAATAGTCTGTTGGGGTGGGGAACCACTGATTTAGTTTTTCAGCTTTGATTTTTTTTTACTAGTAATAATAATAATAATTTATTTATATGCCACCCATCTGACTGGGTTGCTTAATTAAAACATTAAGCGCAGTAAAACATCAAACATTAAAAGCTTCCCTATATAGGGCTGCTGTCAGATGTCTTCTAAAAGTCAGTTGTTTGTTTCCTTGACATCTGACAGGACAGCGTTCCACAGGGTGGGTGCCACTACCGAGAAGGCCCTCTGCCTGGTTCCCTGCAATTTCACTTCTCGCAATGAAGAAACTGCCAGAAGGCACTTAGAGCTGGATCTCAGTGTCTGGGCTGAACGATGCGGGGTGGAGACGCTCCTTCAGGTATACAAGTCCCAAGCCATTTAGGGCTTTAAAGGTCGGCACCAACACTTTGAATTGTGCTTGGAAACGTACTGGGAGCAAATGTAGGTATTTTAGGACCGGTGTTATATGGTCCTGGTGGCTGCTCCCAGTCACCAACCGCCACATTCTGGACTAGTTGTAGTTTCTGAGTCACCTTCAAAGGTAGCCCCACATAGAGCGCATTGCAGTAGTCCAAGTGGGAGATAACCAGAGTATGTACCACCCTGGCAAGACAATGCACAGGCAGGCAGGGTCTCAGCCAACATACCAGGTAGACAGCTGCCCTGGACACAGAATTGACCTGTACCTCCATGGACAGCTCTTAGTCTAAAACGACTTCCAAGCTGCACACCTGGTCCTTTAGGGGCCCAGTTACCCCATCCCTTCCCCATTTTGTGAGCTGCTTCTTTTTCAGTTTTAAAACAGGATAAGAGTTTAAAATGGAGGGTACTGCTTTTGCTGCTGGGGACTGATACTGCAGTAAGGTTGATACTGTTCTTCCAGGTGTCAGAGAGAAAATTCTGTCTTTGAAAGGACAAGAACAGCTCATGCAAAAGAAGAGCCCGTTTCAGATGTCACCACATTTGCAGAAACCGCTATTTGCAAGAACTACTATTTGCAAAAATTGCAGGCCAGCTGCAGTGCAGAAAAGACAATTAATGTGAAGGACATCAAGGCTAGTTTAAGGATGCTCATCAGTAATTGGAAGGTAAAAAAGGCCTTACTTTCTATTTTTGGTAATGTTTGCAGGATGTGGCTGAAGATGGAACAAAACCCACAAAACTAGTTCAGTACACCTGGGACGCTCCCAGACTCTAACTGATATTCATAATATTGGATTTTAAGTTATTATTGTTATTATTATTTATTAAATGTGTATAGCGCACTTCATCCAAAGATCAAAAATAGAAAATGAGAACACAAAATACATAATAAAAACAATAGAAACAAACCAACAACCTTCCCCGCCCCCACAAACATGCTTTTGCCTGCTGCCTGAAGATATGCAACGAAGGCGACAGTCAAATCTCCCTGGGGAAAGCATTCCACAAACAGCGAGTCACGGCAGAAAAGGCCCGTTCTGGTGTTGCCACCCTCCAAACCTCTCGTGCAGGTGGCACCTTAAGAAGGGCCTCAGATTATGAGCGTGGGGTCTAGGTCAGTTCACTTTGAATTGGGCCTGGAAACTAATTGGCAACCAGTGCAGTCAGGCCAGGATCAGTATAAAGCAGGCAACTCTTTATTTGTGCATGGGTTGAATTTTGGACATTCACACCCGTCAGTGGAGTGCACACAAGCACCCTCTTCCGGGTCCAAAATGACATGTGCATCGGTGGTTGTGTGTCAATGAAATACATGCAGAATGGTCACCACCTGTATGCTCAAACCATCTTGCCTCCATGGCTGTTGAATTCTGCACCAGTGGAAGTTTCTGAATCACTGTAGTTTTAGTCATTGAAAAATTGATCCAGGAAGTGGTCAGTTGATTCT